GGACATTACCATCTTGTATCAGAGTAGTTGTGACTATCTTCAAGGAGCCCTCATGAGAGCCCTTACATTCCCTTACAGAAAAAGTGGGGGTAGGGTCACAGGGCCCTCATCTGAGACTATAACCACCCCCTCTCTTTTGTACCCCCCGCTGAAAACTATGTGATCTTATCTAGGACTTCAAAAATTTACACTGGTCAAATGCATCTGGTATCTAGAGGTACTATGGGAGGAAAATTAACTGAAGTGGGGATTTAATCTTTGCAGCCTTTAGAAGGGTTTCATTTACATTGGGTTGAGGTATCTTTGTGGTCCAGCTCTTTAGAGTTACCCACACTTCTGTAAGTAAGCCCGATAAACTCATTGGTCCACCAAGATGGACTTGGTAAGCATGGCTCTTTTGGTCTATCATTGGTGCTCTGTCTGGGGTGGACAGACATGGTCTACAACAGACCAGAAAAAGTCACACAATAGATGCTAAGAGTATAGAGTAGTACAGGGAAGCTAAGCCTCATTGCTTGGCGTCTGTATTAAACACACCACCACAAGGAGAAGGAAGAGCGAGCGGAGGGAATGCTGTTTTAATCCCACAACATGGTGGCCAGTCCGGTACCCAGGAAGGACAGACCCTGGCCCTTCTTAAAGCCCAAGAGGAAGTTCAGAAAGGGAGGTCCATGTGTCACAAGGAGCCACAGACTAGGAGAGGGGTAGCCTGTTGCCTGCCCCATGAGGACTCAGGTTAGCACGTCAATCTCCATGCTACATTAACAAACCAAAGTAAAAGAGAAAATTAGACTCTTCCTCAGAATAATGTCTGTGGGAGAGACTTTTTCCTGAAACAGCCAGGAAGCAGGTGGTATTTCTCCCTCATTTACTTACAACATTAAATTGAGAATTGCTTCTCACGAGGAATTTCTCTTATCATTCCATATCAAATAAAAAAAAATGATACATGAGTGTAGGAAATCTTTTAAAATCTCCGGGGGGTGGGGTGGGGGGGGGACACTGTTCTGGTACCATCCAGCACCATTGCCCAGAGGCAACAATATAAAAATATATCAAAGAAGATGAGGTCATTCCCACAAATGCTGCATCAATTTAGAAATTGAACTTACCTCTGATTTCAAAAGGGTGATTTCCACCCTGCAGCAGAGCTCCCACTGGGAGCTCCTAAGTTAGTTTGGAAATTATTTTCAACCTGAGCAATTCCACATAGGTAAAATGGGGACTGAGCTAATCTAGCAATTAACACTGCTGCTTGGGGGTTCAGTTTAAATGCATTTTCTAAGAAATCACTTGCATTTGGACCCTAAGCCCTACTCATTGTGGTTTATTGCTCTTATTTGCCTTCTCATTAAAGTCGCATGGCGTGCTAATTCCCACATCCTATTGAGCCCCTCCCTGGAGCTCTTCCCTCTACCTTTCAAATGCTCACAGCAGCCTCTTTCATAGGGTCCCCTCCACATCCTGAGCACTTTCCTGCAGTGTGCTATTTTGGGGCCACCATAATTTGGCAGTTAATGACACTTGGAATTTGGCCTGCTCTTTAATCCCTCCTCATGGTACCCTTTTCTCCCCTGGTTTTAAGTCCCATGTTTGGACTTTCAAGAGTGTCTTGGAGTGCTGAATGCAAGTTTGGAAAATATTTGTGGGTTTATTATTTGTTCCAAAGGAGACTCTATGGGGGGGGCACGCTCAGAGCCTAGGGGTTGAAAGAAAGAGCTGGGGTCTGGCCAACTCCATTACCTTTCTCTCTGTGGCTTAGTTTCCTTCTCTTCACACTGACTCACCTTGAAGATGAGGGTAAGAATGGTACCCTCCCTGATGAGAGTGCCTGAGGAGTCAGCAAGACAATGGATACAAGGTACACAGTGAAAAGAAAGGGTAAGTAATCCCGGGCACTACAGCAGGGGTAGGTGCTGTGGTCAACAGGTTTCCTCAGGACAAACTCTTGCCTGAACCATGCAGCAAGGTGGAAGCAGGGAGAGGTTCATGGTAGGGCAGAGTGCCTGGCCCTACAAAGACTGTTTTGCTTGACATTCTTCATGATATTTAATGTGAGTTGGATGTCTTCTCTTTGAGTGCCCAGTAACTCTAACTGGGTGTGGTGGCACACACCTGCATACCCACACTTAGAAGGCAGAAGCAGGAAGATAGTCAGAAGGCAGCCTGGGCTACAGAGTGAAATCTTGTCTCAAACACAACAAAACAAACAAAAGCCCAGTATCGTAGGATGTGCTTGCCTAGCATGTGCATGGTTCTAGGTTTGCTCCCCAATACTGCCAAAGTAATAAGACCAATTATCAAGGTATTATTACTAATTAGTTATTTCCTTGAGTTTTACTTTCTGAATTTAGGGTTAGATTTCCTTCACATAAATAACAATTTTAATTTACTTTGTTTTGGTTTTAGAGAGTCATGGATTTTCAGCAAGTGATCTCCCAGTAAGCTATATCCAGTGGCTACCTTAGAAATAGGTTCCCATTCTTGGTACTATTAAAGCATTTACAGCCTAACTTTCCATTTTCAGGAACAAACTACTTCATTTCCTTGTGCCTCAATTTCTTCACATATAAAGCAAGGATCAGAAAGTGAATTTACGGCGGGGGAGGTGGTGGCGCATGCTTTAACCCCAGTACTCAGGAGGCTGAGGCAGGCAGATCTCTGTGAGTTTGAGGCCAGCCTTGAGTTCCAGGCTGTTACACAGAGAAATGCTGTCTAGCAAAAACAGAAACAAAAACAATAAATAAATAAATAAATAAATAAAAGTGAACTTACTCTCAGATTTAAGTTAGACACAGAAAATATTTAAAAAGTAGCTTTTCTGGCCTTTTGAAAAAGTTGCATGGAAACCAATTACTGTAGAAACTTCATAAAATACATACATATATAAAAGGACAAACATATATAAAAGGAGTTTTAACGGAATTTCTCTATGGTGGGGACATAAAACCCCAACTCCAAACTATATGCTACGAAATAAGACCTATAGTACCTCTTCTTGAGTTACTGGTTTCAAAACCCTGCCCAAACATTACAAGCTATTCCAATGTTCTTGCCTACCCTCCAGAATTTGGTGGTAAGACTCTGTTGCTGAAGGCAGTACACATGCATGTCATAGAACATGGAGAAATCTAGCTGGCACTCAATTGGAACTTTCATCCCTACTAGCTAGTGTGCATAAGGCTGGGAGTTACTATGCATGTAACTGGAGGAGAAAAGTAATTACCATTCTCACCCAGCTGTGAACACTGAAAAACACTGAATAAAACTGAATAACCTGTCTGGCAAGAAATCCCCCCAGTGCAATCGTGACACAGATGTTATGGGAGTAACCAACTGCTTTTAATTAATTAATTTATTTTTATTGGATTTAAGACCCACTCTGTGGGATGAAACCCTTACCCAACACTGTCAATGAGACTAAGAATCTGAGACCATATAAATTATAGGACATGTAGTAGAAAACCTACTATTATTCCACACATAGCAATAAAATGGTTCCTAACAACATATTGCTATACTTCTAGATCAGTGGTCAACCCCCGTTAGAGAAGATTTTTCTTGTAGTAGATGGCAGTTAACACAGAAACTCACAACTCTTGGTTCCACCTCTTCCCTAGGTAGAGTGCCCACTTGGATGGCAGTACCAACCCTATAAAGGGAAGTCTAGGTGAAAGCTATGTCTTAAAAATATCCTCCATGAAGACATCCAGAATAACACTCAAAATTCTTCAATCTGCTTGCATTCTGACTTGACAGGAAAGTTCTGGGAAGAAAATGTGCTTATTTTTCAACGAAAGAAAGAAGAAATAGCTAAAACCAACCAACCAACCAAACCAACCAACCAACAAACCCTCTCCAGACTCTTGAAGATGTTTCCCCAAGTAAGCTTCCTCTGAAGTCTTTCCACCTCCTTCTTTTCTTAAACAGATCTTTCCTGTGTCTTTTTATCACATATTCTGATGTTTATAGATAAACACTAAAGTCAGTCTTTCCAACACTTACCATAGCTTAAAAACCATAAACACAAATGGAAATATTAAACCCCTCCCGATAAGATGATGAGTCGAAATGAATGAACTTACAGCCACTCCACCAGGGAGTCCTAAGAGCAAGGGCACAGACTGATTTTTGAGAGTTAAATCATAAACTGACATATGGAGGGTTAGAGTTTATCTCAGTGGTAAGTCACTTGACTAGCAAACAAGACCCTGGATTCAGTCCCCAGCATGGCACAGAGAGGCTGGGACATGTCGAAGACATAGGATAGGTGCTAGGCCACCAAGATTCCAGCTAATGTTGCTGAGTGTATTGATGCACTAAAAGAGGGCCTGGAAAAACCAGAAGAAAATTCGGACTGTGGCAGGTCCCATACAGGAGTGTTACAGCCCATGGATAAGAAATGCCCACTGTGGCTGGGCCATTGGTTGCGGAAGCACAGGGGCATAACAGTTAGAGGCTGAGGATTTAGAGGCAAATGTTTCCCTTTTGTCTTCCCACTTACTAATTCTGCAATGCTGTAAGCTCTCCAACTCCCTGCTCCTTGTCTGGAAAATGAGGCTAATAATCCAGTGAAGAGGGGAGTAAATATCCTATATGAAGTTCCCAACATCGTACCTGATACAGAGGAGGCATATACAGATACTCGGTGGCTGTACCATTCCTGAGACGGATGTTTCAGGTCATAACAGCCCAAGGTCCCCAAGCATCTAGATCTTCCATCTCTCTGTCTTCCTTGGCCCAGTTTTGGTCTTACTGATAGAAAGCATTTTGACCTGTTGGCTGTCCTGTGCCAGGCATGGTTTAAAGAAAATGGTGTCCATGCTGTCAGGGCACCCAGGTCTGCTGGTTAGTTTAGACTTTGCATGACATTTGAGTATTTGGAAATCCTTGTGTACAGAGCATCCTCACAGGATGTATCAATTAGTTGTAAATGCTTTGAGAGCTTTGCCATCGCCTTGTCCTTCACCCAATAACCATTCTCCTGGACAATGTCTTACCTGTGACATGGAGCTTTTCATCAGTGACCTCGGCCTTCAGATAAATACGCCCCCTCTTCTCTGTGTGATCCATTCCGCAGAGGCTGGGAACGTTGATCACACATTGCTTGTGAACATTCATGTCGCAGGCTGTGAATCAAAGAAGGCAAAGGGTAAGGTTGGCCATATGGGCTCACATCACTGCCTCTATGTTTTGGTGTCTGAACAGAAGTGGGAAGGACTCTCCCCTAATGTGATACCTTGCTATAATGTTTCTGGTGATACAAATGGTCAGCAGATGTCCCTTCCTACACAGGCCTCCTCCTGTGAGTGAAATATCCATCTCATATTTATCCAGTCTTAACCACAGCCAAAGGATCCACGTTGTTCTGTGACTGTTTCCAATAGTTAACAAAAGCCACATAGGCGAATGCATACAGAACTCAGACTACTTACTTAATGGTTTACTTACACATAGGTATGCAGCATGCAAATTTAAAACAGATGATACTTTGTAAAAATGTTTAGTCAGGGAATTGTTCTGCCTTTCTGAGCTGGCTATCAAGAAAGTGGCAATCTGTGGGCCAAGTATAGGAAATACCTAAAAAATTTCTTTCCCTCAAGTAACTTGGTGTTCTTGAGAAGGTGTAGGTATGTTGGCTTGGGGGGGGGGAGGAACTTATGTGTGATATTTTAAACCTGTCTTCAAATATTTAAATATTAATCCAAGTAAAACAAATACACGCCTGGCATAAGCCATTCCTTACACTGACATTATGTAGGCGAGCCAGGGGGAGGATATAAAAAAGATCAGTCCTATTTCTGTGAACCAAAGAAACCCTGAGAAGGAACCCCAGGGCTGACTACAAACACCAGGCTGCAAGTCTGTGTAGGTGTGATGGCTCCGCCCTCCTGGTACCTTGGGCTTCCTAGAATCCTCACCCACTCTCCCAGGGATGTTAATAAGATTAACCTGCACTATTCCAGGCAGGGCCTGACAACCCCTTTTCATCTAGGTGTTTAATCCCAACATGGAAACATATCTTTTTTGGGGGGTGGGGGAGGAGAGTCCTAAGAAAAATCTATTCACTGCAATTAAACACTGAAAACTGGATAACTACACAGAAGAACCAGTGGCTTCACAGATGTGGATTCTCTTAGGCATCATTCACAAAGCGCCTTGCTTAGCCACTTTGATGACATTAACTCATTCTCCTCTTACCAGGAAGGACCCTAGATGCCCCAAAGCCCAAGGGGTGGGGGGGGGGTAGAGAGAAAGAAAAATAAAACAACCAACAAAGGTAATGGCTTGGGTAAGTGGCTTTCAAAATTGTTCAGTGATGAAATCCATGTTTTCCAAATGAAATCTAAAGTGGAATCCTAATAGACAAAACCAGATGGATGCTATTGTCAACAACGTATTCCTAAATTCAGATTTATACAGCTTATTTATTTCAAAGACATTCATGGGTATAAAGGACGTGGACAAAAAACCCTAAAACAGATTAACCAATGTCTGTCATAGTGGAAATGCCTCCCCCAAATTTCTGTGCTGCAAATTTCACTCCCAAAAATTCATAATAACGGCAATTGTAGGTGGGACCCTTGGGAGCTAAGTAGTAGTATATGAGGTCATGAGTGTGAATAAGAGGGAGCCCCGTGGTGGCATTATGGCTTTATAAGCAGAAGAGAGGTCCTCGGCATCTTAGTCTAGCTTTTCATGACACGCCCTCCACCATGTTCTGATGTAGCAAGAAGGCCTATACTACTTGCTGGTGCTTCATCCTTGGATGCCTCAGACTCCAGAGTTCTGAGATTAAATGAATCTCCGTTCTTCACAAAGTACCTCATTTCAGATATTTTGTTACAGCAGCAGAAAATGGGCTAGAACCCCATCTGAGGCTATTCATCTGTTTCTACGTTGTATTAAAATGACCCCAACCCTTGCTTTATCAGGGAAGAGAGTGTGCAGGTGGGAACAGCACGGAAAAGCACACCTCATCAACCTGAAAATTTCTCAGTGGAGCGCACACGGAGGGGGAAACTTGATGGCAACTTCTACCTCTGGAGTGGGGCTGACAATATAAACTTCCCAGTCTTTCTAACTGTCAGAGTCGACATGTATACAACACATGTGAGCGTTCATGTTTGCTCCATGTTTTAGAACATTTATTGCGCTTCATAGTGTGTGCGTGTGTGTAGGTAAGAGGACAATCTGCAGGAATCTGTTTTTCAGAGATTGATGCCAAGTTGTTAGGCTTGGTTGCAAGCGTCTTCACCCACCAGACCATCTCTCCAGCCCTGCTCCAAGTTTTAAAATAGCTAAAAACACATTTACAAACATACTTAGGATTGCCAGTTTTAGAAACACTGAAAATGATGAAAATGATGTGTTTGGAATCTGAGGGGTGCTTGAAGCACAGAGGCTGCTGACCTGGATGATAAGGCCATTGGCCTGCACAGCTGGGTAACCGGAAAAGCCCCTGGGCTCTGAGAGACTTTCCATGGCTCTAATGTTCACATATCCTAACTTATGTAAAACACTGTGTTTATTCCATGCAGGATACACAGCTTTATGGTCAATCTAGTCTTTTGGAACAAATGAGAACATGCTGGTGTTTTCCTAACCCTTATTAATAACAAGGGCTTAGTAGCTGCTTTTTTATGCCCTAAAGTATACACTTTTATTCAAGGATCTAGCACAGGTAAATTCGTCACTTGAGAATTAGCAAAACAGAAAGTTTCTGAGGCTATTTTTCTTGCCTTTTGGTATTGGAGAAGGATGCACAGTACTGAGCAGGAGGAGGGAAACGGTCTCCTGTCTTCTATGTCAGTGGAACTCTGTGATGTTACGGGTAGCTGAAATGCTATAGACCCCATCAATTTGTCAACAGGCAGGGTGCGTGAGCTCAGGATGCTACCCTGGTTTTCATGCTCACTTTAGCTTCAGTTTTAGCTTCAGGAGAAGCCTGCTGGATTTTTCCACAGTCCACCCACTAATTAGAGACATAGGAAGATAATGAGTATGGTTGCTTAGCTTATTTTGAAGCCAACCAAATGTGGAATCTGGAGGTGGGGGAGACTTCTGTGGGGTTTGACTAGCCTGCATTTTAGAGGGATTGAAGATTTCTACCACACAGACAAACACACACAGAGTCAGACAGACAGTCTCTGGAAAAGTCACAGTACCCACTAACTTCATTTATTTGATTTTTTTTGGGGGGTGTTTTTGTCTGTATTGCTTTGGAGCCTGTCCTGGAACTAGCTCTGTATACCAGGCTGGCCTCGAACTCACAGAGATCTGCGTGCCTCTGCCTCCTGAGTGCTGGGATTAAAGGTGTACGCTGCCAACGCCTGGCTCCCACTAACTTCATTTATAACCCAAATAACTTTTGGGGTGCTCATGATTAGACAAGCAAGTAGTTCTAGTAAACAACACCCAGAGAAGAGAGCAAGGAATCCTTCTTTGAGCCTGGTCTTTATCTGAACCAACTGTGCCTGTCACTAAGCTGCTGCTGAGTTTTTAAAACCTTGGGCTCTGAGCACACTCAGACATGAGTAGCAGATCCTGGCCATCTACCAGAAAAGAAAACTTACTGTCACATTTCATCCCCTGGTGGATGAGTCCATATAACAGGGAGCCACAGTGGTCACAGAAGGTAGGACTTCCGTAAGTGTGGATTTTGAACTTGTGCTTGCTCCTGGGGTCCTGGGGAGAGAAGAACAACACCCATCTCAGGTATGAAAGGATTGTATCTTTGGTTAAGTCAAGCACATGCCCTGTGTTCATTGCAAAGTTTGGCTACTTTCAGACTGGAGTCAGAGGAGTGTGCATGGTGTGTGTGTCTTTTGACGTATCACATTTTCACATAGCATATACTCAACGTTTCCTCTCTTCAAAGTGTATACTTTGTACATAGACAATGATAAGGTTTCCATGAAAGCTGTCACTTGGAGTTTACCATCATCAAGGTCTAGAAGGGGACATGCTCAGTGCTTCAAATCATTCCTGCCCCTGTCCCCCCCAACACCTAGCAGTGTTGTGGCACAGAAGAGAGAAAGTATCTAGTATCCTTGTGGAGCTGAGCTGAACGACCTGGGATTTGCATACTTGGAGAAATCTCTTGCCTTCCAGAACCCTGATAGGCTGTGGCATCAGATAGCCCCTGTGACTGACAGTGCCCCTCGATTGTGTACTATCTCCGAAGATTCTGTGCATTTGTCTGGGGGAAATGTCAGTGACTAGATAAAAGCCAGAAACTCACTGGGGTAGCCCTTCCCCAAGTATAGCAACAGGCTCATGGCTCTCTTTAGCAGATGGAACAGTGCGGGGTGCAGCCAGAAAGCTGTTCTAGGTTCCTGCTCTTCAACTCACAGGCAGATCAATAGAAATCATACATAACATGCTATCGGAAGTCAAGGGTCTGGGTTCTAGAGTCCCTGGCTGGATCTTCACATGTCTCAGGGACATGACTTTGAACAAATGGCTTGTTCTTTCTGCAGTGGAAAGTCAGTACCACCTAACGTGTGTGTGTGTGTGTGTGTGTGTGTGTGTGTGTGTGTGTGTGTGTCTGCACATGTGCATGCATACACCTATGTATGCCACCTTGCATTGTGAAGGTCAGAGGACAACTTTTGGAGTTGGTTCTCCCCTTCACCATGTGATTTTCTGGGATCAAACTCCAGTCGTTAGGGGTAGAAGCAAGCACCTTATCCACTAAGCCATCTCACTGATGATTAGTGATTCTTTGGAAGCATCCCACTATCTGGCCTTCTATAAAGGCCACTCTTGTGTTGCAAAATATCTCATGTCCTTGCAGTACTTTTCCCTAGCTAGCAATGGCTCTGAAGGTGGAGTAAAGAGCAGTCTCAGACATTGGGACAGCTGATGAGTTCCTCTGATGTCTGAGGTATGGGGCAGAATGCTGCAGGATCAGGCTAGCATCAGCACCAATTAGCTGGACCCATGTTGACAGTGAAGGTTGTGTCCTACAATGTGGAGGGCAAAGAAGATGCTGGGGGACAGAAAGCAGCCAAGTCCTCTGTAGAAATGTAGCATCAAAAACTGACAGCAAATCAGGAGTGGCAGCTCACTCTAAACCCTTTGGAGGATGCACGGGGCAGTCAGCCCTGGGGTGGCTGTCCTGCCAGCTGACTGCCACACAGACTTTTGTTGACATGGCAGGAGGGCAACGGGCTTCAATTTCAGGGAAACCTAACTCTTAGTCATCGGACACCCATACGGTATCTCCAGGTTCTAACTGCTGGGAGGTGTAGAAAGAGAGGAAGCCATTGTGTACATCTCTGGAGAGCCACCAAGTCCCAGAGTCCTTCATATCCAAAGTACATGTGTGGCCCTTGTGAATCATGCTGGCCGTATGTGCTCATGCTAACTCCAGCAGCATGTGAGCACACGCAAGTGGTTTGCAACCTGATAAGAACTGGACAGGCACAAAAAGCTGTCATTACATTAGCCATAGAAGTAAACTTTGTGAAGCCCAAGGTTTCTCTAAAATACTTCAGTGGTGTGGGGTGACTCCAGCTTTCAGGGGTGGTCGGGATGGAGGCTTCCTGAACTCTGTGTCTAGTCCTCCCAGGAAGTTCCTTGGCAATTGCCCCATGTGGTGAATTTGAAACTGCTTGGTGGTCCAGAATACCCCATGCATGGTTCCAACTTAAAAGTCAGGATGTTGCTATTGCCTGCACTGAGAAAGAGGGAGGCATGAGTACAGAAACTCATCCAGTGTAATGAACCTCACCAGGTCGGACAGGATCAAATACCTTGTTACCTAAACAGGACTCTCCATGCTTTACAGAAACCACCAGAGCAGAGACTCTCCAAGGATGTCTGTATCTCTGCCATGGCCACCAACAAGCACTGTGTGTTTGCCTTCTCTGGGTCTCAGCTTTCTCATCAGGATCCTGGACCACTGGGGGTGGGACTAGCATTTTAAATGAGATTGTACAGAGCCCCGAGCTTGTCATCAGGTGCCCAGTGCTGCCCAGGGAGGAGTAGCAAAAGAGCAAAGGAGGGAGAGGAGGCTACGGCTAAAATTAAAGTTGGAAACAACTGTACTAGATGGTCCCTTCAATACTATCTTGATATTTAGGAAAAGGAAACACCAACAAAACCCTTTTTTATTTTGAAACCATTTGAGACTCACACGAATTTGCAAAACTAGTACAGCCTGTTCCTGCATGCTTTTCACCCAGCTTTTCCCAGTGAGAACATCTTACATAACCGCAGCACGTTAGCGGAGCAGGGACACCGCTGCCACCAGCTGACTGCAGGCGTCTTGGGGTCTCTAGATCTTCTGTGCATAATTATAACAAGAGGGCTTTCATTGTACAACACATGAATTAAATATACTGTGTATGGGGTGGGAATACAGTCCTGTTTGCTGTTCTACCCACGGACCTGGGGAGAACAACAGCCAGGAACATCTGCTGTCTGTTCCTGAGATCCCTAATTGCTGGATCTCAAATGAAGGGGTTAGGGAGGGTGACTCCAAAGATCTACTCAAAAGTAGGAGTGGAAAGTTTCTCTCCAAGTAAAGGAGGCACACAGTGTCTCAACCTCTGTGACCAGTGCTTTGGAACAAAGTCATCTTGAATCTCCAGCTGATTGAGAGCTCAGCCAAGTGTGCAGTCAGCCTGGGTCATGGGGAGATTGAAAGGTACCAGGCTTCCAGGTGGAGAGGTACCAGCCACAGAGGGCATGGAAGCCTGAGTGTGCATCTGTCTAAGTGTTGCTGGTCCCTGGGTCCTGAGCAGCTTTGGGATAATCTGTCACATCCATAAGCCCTGGCACCTTCATCGTCTAGCAGCTCCCAATGTATCTCTCCTGTGCCTCTTATTGTGATGGCTTCCACTGGCCATAACCACCAGGATTCTTCCTGTTATAACTGATACAGGGGTAGTAAGAAAGACCACTGTTGACTTTCAGAGGACACACACACACACACACACACACACACACACACACACACACACACACACACACACACACCTCAAGCAGAGGAAAGATAGCTCTAAACTGACATTGCTAAATTAGCAACTGTGATAGAAACAAGTCAGAATATTAAGTTTTAAGCATAAACTTTATCTCCGAGCTCTCTGGGCAGCAAGATGAAAAGGCAAAGTAATCAGAGGAGGTTTCTCTGTGATTGCAAAGATATCTGAGTCCAAAACTCTGCCCACCTCTCCTGCAGCACCATTTTGTTTCTTAGCTGGTGCACCTTCACCAAACACATAGCATAGCAACGCCATCTTAACAGAAATACACTCTTATCACGCTCCAAGGTTCCATAGAGGTGGTTCTCAGCCTTAATGCTGTGACCCTGCAATGCAGCTCCTCCTGCTGTGGTGACTCCCAACCATACAATTATTTCCATTGCCATTTGCCACTATTATGAATCATAACGTATCTGATAACTAGGATACCTGATATGCGACTCCTGTCAAAGAGCCATTTGAGCCCCCAAAAGGGTTTTGACCACAGGTTGAGGACTGTTGCTCTAAAGAAAACCATCCCTCAGGTAAGGTTGGAAAACTTGGTCACAGCACATAGAGAAGGGTGTGTTATAGAGTAAACTCCCCTATGACCAGGTTAACAGTCCTTTCCTTTTAGTGAAACAGGTGTAAATATTCCTTTCAACTTCTTAGGCAGCCTCCACTTGAAGGGAGTATAAAATCTGCTGTCGTGCATCACAGGCCTGATGTCACATTGTAACAGATCAGGCAAATGCTTGACTCAGGAGAGTCTGCTGCATGTGTGGCTGCATCAAAAACAGAGGCTCCAAGCATGCTGCTTCACACTGGTACAAATGCAATCTCACTCACCAATCTAAATCTGGATCACTTTCCTAAAAAACGAATAGTGGGGGGGGGGAGATGCAAGTTCTAGTGAAAGCATCTGCTAGCCTGTATCTTATTTCTTAGTTCTAAAATATAGTAATCCAATCAGCTTTCCCTGGAAAGCCTTCTCAACATCCCTACCAAGATGTTTCCAAGACTCCCTCCTCCTTCTCCCATCATCAGCATCCTCATCATCATCACCATCCTCATCATCATCATCACCATCATCATCATTACCATCATCATCACCACCACCACCACCACCATCATCATCATCACCATCATCATCATTATCACCACCACCACCACCACCACCATCATCATCATCACCATCACCATCATCATCATTATCACCACCACCACCATCATCATCTCCCTAAATCCATTAAAAAGAAGCTCTTAATTCTGTACATCACAGATTTTGATGCTGATAGAACTTTGGACTTCCTAGATTCTTCCTTGTGGAACTCTATGTCTGTACTGAAGGCAGTGTGCTCTGGGTGACTTTGCCCTCTCAATCTTCAAGGATGGAGAGTGGTCCATCCATGGGCAGAGTAAAGCCTCTGGAGGAATGGATGCTCCCTGAGCTGCAGGAGGCAGGTGGCTGTTAAGGATGGAGATGAGGATGGCCTAGGCGAGCAGACATAGTCACATGCCCTTCTCATCTGATGAGTAAGGAAGGCAAGCTTTTGACTGAGGGCTGTGTGTGCATGCGTGCATTTTCTGTCCATACTGAATTCCTCCCACGTGCCCTGGAGGTTTCTCAGAGAACCCAAATGCCTGTCCTTGAAGGCCTCAGGGTCAGGCTTTCTGAGTTCCTGGGCAAGGCTGTTTTTAATCCCGTGGAGCTCT